TGGAGAACTGAAAATTAAAATGCGATACAGCTTTAACCATCAGACCAGCAAACGGCAACAAGATAACAGCAGGTGTTGCTGCGGGAGGGACAGGCCTCTGGTCCACTGGGCGGGTGGGTGAAGATGGCTCCGGAGCCTTTGGAAAGAACCGAGCTGCCCTGACTGTTGAAATTAAAATCTGCCTTCCCTTCAGCCCGGCCAGTCCCTTCTACACTCCAGGCCTAGAGAAACATTCCCTGTGCACACCAGCAGGTCAGGTCAAGGCTCTTCGTTGCTCGTAAGTAGTAGGGACTGAAAAATCCTGCAATAACCCAGACCAGGAAATGGTTTAGGGAACCAGGGTGCTTCTCTGGGGAGGAATACCGGAGAGGACCCGTATAAACAAAGGGGCCAAACATACTCTCCCCAAAACAGGAGTGAAAGAGACCGTGCGTACAGCGGGATCTCGTTTGTACAACACACAAAGGGAAGAAATCATTTAAAAGCTATTTCTAGGGGCGCCTGGGTGGCTCAGTGGGTTAAAGCCTCTGCCTTTGGCTCAGGTCATGATCTCAAGGTCCTGGGATCAAGCCCGGAATCCCCGGCTCTCTGCTCAGTGGGGAGTGTGCTTCCCCCACTCTCTCTCTCTGCCTGCCTCTCTGCCTACTTGTGGTCTCTGTCAAATAAATAAATAAAATCTTAAAAAAAAAAAACTATTTCTAGGAGGATGCATAAATAATTGGTTGGAGGGACTGCCCAAGGGGAGGGTTAGTTGCTTTTCATCTGAGACCCTTTTCACAGTGTTTGGTTTATTTTTTCTGAGTGTATGCATTACTTTTTTAGCAAGAAAATAAAATTAATTTTAGAGTTCTTTGATAAGCTTTTCAAGGACATGTTTTCAATAAAGAAACCCTAGAATAACATTTACATTGTATCACTTTGGTAAAAGAATACATAGAGTTGCCTGGGTGACTAAGTAGGTTAAGCATCTGCCTTCCACTCAGGTCATGATCTCAAGGTCCTGGGATCAAGTCCTGCAAAGGGCTCCCCACAGTGTGGGGGAGTCTGCTTCTCCCTCTGCCTGCTGCTCCCCCTGAGTGTGCTCCCCGCTCTGTCAAATACACAAAGAAAATCTAAACACACACACACACACACACACACACACACACACACACCCAGATGCCCCCCACCCCAGAAGAGGAGAGCAACAGAATTATTTTAACATAAGTGAAAATATTCCTTGGTAAATCATTAGTTTAAAATCTTACCGTCGAAAAGTAGTGTATTGGAAGAAGAAAGTGCACATCTATTTCAAGCAAAGCAACTGACATTAAAAATACGGACATATTTCATTGTCTCCTTTTCTAATTTATACACACTTTGGTTCATTCCACTACCACACCATTGTACCATGAGAATGTTTATTTCACAGGTGATTTTTTAATCCTGTAGCCACAATCCCCCCATACTTTTACATCATTTTTTCTATACTTTTTAAATATGAGATACAGAATTTGTCGGAGGTTAAAAGGGACAGACACATTCTTTCTGCTGAAAAACATATCATATTTAACTTAAAGATTATTGTTAACCTTTTGGATAGCAAGAATTTGAAGCTGCTGGGAGTCACGTGTATTTGTAGGTCCCAAAGTAGCCCTGAGGTCTAACTAGGAAAATAGCTTTTATAAACTGTAACAAAACTCACCTCAAAATAAAAACCTATGAAATGTACACAGTTCTATCCAGAGTCAACGTTTTTATAACATCCATTTTCAGAAACGACCATGAAAAACAGCCTCACGTTCAGGAAACAGCCTCTATATCGAGGTGGCCTAACTTACGATCAGACAGCCCATGCTCAAGTCTGTCCAGTCCTCCCAGTATTAAAAACACCCATCCTCGGGCGCTCTAGCAAACACCAGGTGGGACAATGATTTGAACGAAGGGAATTCCAAGGAGAGCTGTTTTTGTTCATCTGACCAGAGGATCCCATTCTCAGTCCTCAGGATGTCCCCAAGGCTCCCAAGGTTTATGGGGTCCTTCTATAGTTAGCATCCAGTTTTCCAAAGTTGTACAGTTCCAAACCAGTTTCTAGAACGTCTGCTCAAAAACTGGCATTACAGTACTTCAATGCAATCTCTCAAAACATTATCATCAGGTCAACACAGGTCACTGCTCTCCCTGGAATAACCAGCTTCATTTTTGTTTCTCGCCTACATTTCCCTCTAAAACGAGACAAAGGTGTCATAGGAGGATGACTCAATTTCTCTCAAAACTCCAACTGTGTCTGCTTTCCTTAGACTACCTAATACTTGGGCAGACTTGGGAAAATCCTAGTGCCTCCTCAGGGAAAGATGTTGATGATTCTACAGCTAACCTGGCACCAAATTTCAAGAAACTCAGTCCCTACCCCATGGCTACTGCAGAATGGCTGGTGGAGCTTGGGGACAAGCAGAGTTGTCCTGGCTTCCGGTTTCCGCCTCTCAGTGCACAGGGTGAATGTCAAAGGCAAAGAGATGTCCCAGATGGGCTACTGGACATGGCCGAGGAGCTCCTGCAGGAGGCGTCTGGGCCAACACTACCTCACAGTAAGATCTAGGATGTGACACGCTGGCTGTGTTGTGTGTCCCATTGGATGAAGGGCTTCCAGTGGGTCTCAGGCTGTCCATCGAAGTAGGTCACCTCTGATGCTCCCTGGGAGCCACAGCAGAGGTCACCTTGGCGAGCACAATGCCTGGTCTCCCTCCAGTTCACCTGTGTGCACGCCCGCACGTGTGGGCATGCTCACACCTTAGCACGCACTGTCCACTCTGGCGCAGCTGGCGACCGAGGGCCATTGGAGCCCTGCAGGGGTCGCGCCTGTCACAGAAGTCCTGTATCAGACTGGCTCACAGTGAAAAGATCGTGTGCACAGCACGGGCATTCAACGGAGTCACTCGGAAATTAGCTGAATCGGTTCAGGTAGTGGTGGGTTTGTGTTTTTGCTTTCTTTTTTTTTTTTTTTTTTTTAATTCTCCCCCCCCCACACCCCGCCCCGCCCCCCCCCAAAATCTCCGGAAGAATTTTTTTTTAGCCTCTTCTTTTAAATGTCAATGAAGAAACTTGTGAATTCAAGGTCCCAGAAATGAACAGCTGACTCCAGAGTCACCCAGACAAGTTTAAACGCACGGAGGTGTGTAACGGGGAAAGCAGCCATCAGCCTTTTAGGAAAAACTGTTCTACCTTCTCTGCCGGTAATAGCCTCCCACTGGGATTATCCACCCAGTTCCCATTGCTGCGACAGACCCTCGGTCTTCCCTCCTCTACAGCAAGGTGGTCCAGGAACCGAGGACCCCGCGGCCAGGGGCCTCGGTCTGCGGAAAGTCTACAGCCAGTAGAGCTCCAGTTCCCCGTACGGGCCGTAAAGGGCCCCGAGCAAATACTGCGGTACCGAGAACAATGTCATCACTTAAAAGCTTGTGACCAGCAGCCTTACATGGTTCATGATGGATGTCCAGAGCCCGGGGGACCCATGTGTGGCACGAGACCAGGAAAGGGGTGAGCAGGGCTCTGCAGGTGCACCCGGGGAAAGAGGACAGCGGACTTGCATCAGGCCTGGACTCGCGGCGCAGCGCAAACTGAGAAGGGAGACGACGGTCTGCTCTCCGACTTTGTCGTGGGGACGAGGTGGGGCTGGCAGGACTCTTGCCAGAGGCGGCAAGAGATAAACCAGGTCCGCTTCTTAGTCTTGGCTCCTTTACTGAATTCTCGGTGGCGGAGGGCCCTTTCCTCACGACTTGCTGCCGTGGATTCCTCCCTAAGGATGCATCCGTTTCGGGACTGGGGGCCGGCCCCACCTCGTGGGGTTCTGCTTCACGCACAGCCGCCCGGCCCCCGCGTAGACGCTGGGCCGCCGGAGACCTGCTCACCCGCTACCAGCATGAGAGCAAGCGGGCGCAGGCGGTCGCACCCGCGTGCCCCGTGCTCCAGCTGCAGCACCCATCTCTCCGTCCCTCTCCCCAGAATGAGCCTGCTGTCCCGGGAGGGCCTGAAGCCGAGACGCGGGGCCGAGACTCCCACTCGTCACGTCGCTGAGGTGTGCAGTGTGGCGCGGAGCATGCCGGGAGGGGCTTTGGAGACAGGAAGGAAGGTCCACGATGTTCTGGGCTGCTTCTCCAGGGCAGCCAAAGACATGGCAAGTTTATGCTCTGAATGCTGAGGTCATCCCAGACGAAGCTCTCCCAGCTCTTCCCTCCTCCTGCCCAGCGGGGAGCCCGGTGGCCGGGCTGACCCCGGAGCACTGGAGTCCCATAAGTCAGGACAAGAAACTGTCACTGTCACCCCGCCCACCCTGGTGGCAGAGGGGGAGGGGCCAGTTCTAGAGGTAAAATCGGAGGCTGGCCGTCTGTGTTAACGCAGCCACCACCACTGAACATACCGGCAGAATGTTTTAAACACAAGGGCTCGCACCCACAAGAGGTAACTGAGAAGGGCTGAGGTGACCGCCCGTCCACCCCAGAGCTGTTCCAGCTGCCAAAGTCCCGGGTCTCCAGGAACAAGAAAATCCCAACTGAGGGAGATGGAGGACATCTCCCTGGAAAACAGCAGCATTGACGTCGTCTTGGAACTATTTCTTCCGTCTAGTGTAATCATAATTCACTCGAAAGTATTAAAATATACTTCATCTTTTCCTCTAACTACATGTATATATAAATCCCTGAGAAGGTACCTGTCAACTTGAAATTCACTATTTACAGGTAATAAACACCGGGGGGGCAAGCAGATCCCGGGTCCCCCCAACTCTGGGACAGTAGAGCAGGGCTTCATCTGTCAGGAAAGCAAACTAGGTCTCCCTCCCTTAAATGGGCACAAGGGTGGTGGGGGGCGGGGGGCGGGGGGCTGGCTCAGTCGGTTGAGCATCCAATTCTTGGTTTCAGCTCGGGTGGTGATCTCATGGGTTGTGGGATGGAGCCCCACCATCGGGTTCCTTGCTCAACAGGGAGTCTGCTTGAGAGAGTCTCTCTCCCTGAGCCTCCTCTTCTCTCTCTCTCTCAAAATAAATAAATAAATAAACCTATCTTAAGTGGGGGGGAGGCATGGGTGAGAGCTGTGCCGAAATTCTAAGACCATCCACACAGAAGCTGGTGAAATCTGTCCCTCGTTCACTGGGTCGGTGGAGGTCTTTCCGCAATTCAACAGGGACACGGCACTGCCTCTCGTGATCGCCTTGCTTTTCTGCCCTTTCTTAGACCTCAGAGTGGTGGGGCCAGGGAAGGTCAGAGCTGTTGGCCAAAGCTGCGGAAGAAAACAGGCAGAAGAGGCAAGCAAGGAAGGGAGCAGGCAAGGGGGAAGGCGGGGAACCAACGTGGCGACAGAGCTGAGCGGACATGCGGAAAGCAGAAGGAGGTGACCGCCCACCACTGCCCTGCCCCCGACCACGGCAGGAAGCGAGACAGCAAAAAGTGACCCCCTCAGTGAGACAACGCGGCCAGCCATCCAAAGCAGTGAGAATACATGAACCAGACAATGATGTCAACGGATGCGGGACCAGACTGTTGGGGAGACTAGGCGCGTTTCTCTTCCCCTCGGGGACCAGCCCTCATCTCATCCAAGGGGACTTGGCCAATCCCAACTCTTGGTCACTAGGATGACGTGCAGCCGCCCAGGATCAGTGATGCTAAAAGCAGGGCCAGACCTCTATGCCGTTCTGGAAAGAGGGAGGAGCTCGCTTAAATCGGACCTTGAGAGCTGCATTATCATCACCCCTGACCATCAGGCTGGGGCTGCCCAACAGCCCGCTAACTGAGGTATCTTGAGAGGTAAGTGTGAGACCCCAGATAAGCTCAATGTCTCTCGGTACCAAATGGGGGGACTAGGGAGAGGCTAGCGCCATCCCTGCCCACATCATGAGACGGGTGCTCGAGTCCCAGCCCAGCCTGGGAGCACGATCGGACACGCGAATCCAGGCTTGTAAGAAACAGCTTCCCAATCGGTCTCTATGCTTTGAAATCTATGGCTCCCGAGTAGGATAATCTTTAAATAAAGTGCTGTCAGTAGTGCATATGTGACCGATACTCTATAACCCAGATGGCCGGAGATGCATTAGAATTTCTCAGTGCTTTGGATTATGGACAGAAACTCACACAGAGAGCTCAGGGCCCAGGGCAAATTCCATACGTGCTCTGCCCAGGTCCCCGCATCTTGGAAATTCTACAAAGTCCGCATGAGGAGAAACTGAACATCACAGACAGTCATCAAAGGAAAAATAACAGTAATTCCACACCAGGGACTCTTTGGAATTGAGGCTGGAGGAGGGAGCCATCCAGCCCACTCCAGGAGAATTTGCCTAAAACAAGTTTGCTTAATATTCCTGTTCCTCTGGCCCCTCCCCCTTTCCAGCAGATTGTATCACTCTGGGGCCTTATTCTTTTGCATCTTTTTTTATATTTTAAGGGTATCTGAATTCAATTTACCTGAAAGCACAGAGGACTTAATTTTGTACTTCTGGTAAAAATTGGTTACATTTGCCCCCGCTTTATTAAATAACAGATTTTTTTCTCGTATCTATTTTTGAATATGTTAAAGGCTTTGCATCCAGTTTATCTAAAGTCCCTTGCTTAAGATACTTAGTTCTAGCAATAAGTACATGCTTCTCTGTGCGTGGTTTCATATTTTGACAACAGGTTTTTCTTTGTTATTATTACCATCTAAGTAAGAGAGCTGTAAAATAAGATACCAGGATGTCTGATTCTCCTGTCTCATGTCATCATTTTGCTGGAAAAGGAAATGCCTCCCTCGGATAGAAACAAATGTTCAGAATCACTTCATCAAATCAGTGAGAACATATAATGCTCATGCATGCCCACAATGAGAAGGAAACACAAACAGAAGAATGGGGAGACTTCGACGAATTCCGTATGAAATCACAGAGATATCACAAATAATTATTGCCAGAAACTGTATGCTAAACAAAGGGTCTTCGGGCAAATGTATTAAAACCGTCTTAAATACAAACAGCCCATCACCAGTAAAATGCTGCAAATTTGATCATAATTAAAAATACAAAATTCTTCTAAATTTCTCAAGTGAGGTTCAAAAGGTAGGCTCTGGGGCAGAGTTGCCGGCCGGGTGTTCTCATCTCTAGGGGAACTGGTTTTAGGCTAATCGACTGGTGCCCTGCCCGGATCACTCCACGGTGCAGCCTGAACAAACACAGAGCGCGTTTGGGCCCCCGGCTGGGGACATGCAAGGAGGAGCCGCGCTTCGGGAGGGGTGAGGGCAGGAGGGCGGCATGTCCGCATCCTTCTCCGAGCACGGAGCCCCACTGCCTCCTCCCCCACCTCACAGGCTCAGCCCTCACGTCCTTTTCCTCCAGGAGGGCGCCCGCTTCTCCTTCTGCGCCGCCGCGGCCCGCTGCTTCTCCGCCTCCTCCGCCTTCCGCTTTTCCTCCTTGGCCTCCTTGTACCGCCACTTGGGGAGCTGCAGGTGGGCGCTGTCCTTGGTGCTGCCCTTGGCGGAGGCGCGCTCGGGCTGGAAGGTGGGCGCGGGCGCCTTGCTGATGCGCACGCGGGGGATGACCACGCCGGGCCGCACGCTGCTCCTTCTCAGCAGCTGCAGGGGCAGGAGGCTGGCCCTCCGCGGGGCGCCTGGCAGCTGCGAGGCCGGGAGGCTGGCCTGCGGGGCCGCCTCTCTGCAGACCCCCACAGCCTGCGAGGTCCGGAACGGCTGCTCAGAGCCCTCTATCTTGTCACTCTCCCGGGCGTGCGCGGCCCGGCTCCCGCGAGCCTCGAGGATCTCCTGCACCGCCAGCCGCCTTTTCCCCACACAGGGGGGGCTCTCGGGGCACACAGTCTGGCAGACGATGGCCACGGCGGGGCTGTACAGGCTCGTGGTCATCCTGACCATGTGGTCCAGGACGCCCCCATCCTCCAGGCCCTGGCGTGAGCGGGAGGTCAGAACGGACCTCACAAGCTCTGTGAGCCTCTGCAAGCAGTTTTTGGAGCCCGTGGGCTTCAGAGTGGCCTCCGGGGGCAGCGGCAGCTCCGGTCTGTACTTTTCCCCAAACTGCTCCGGGCAGGGTCGCTCCAGCAGCCTCTGGATGAGGCGGACGGCCTCCAACCGGCCCGTGTAAGCGGCCCACTCCTGGGGCGACATCCCACGGCGGGGGTCCCTGGCATGGACGTCTGCCCCTGAAAAAAAATGCAAACACACAGAGTCATGGGCGAAGGCGACAAGAACTTTCCTGGCCAATGGCAGGAAACAGAAGAGGGAAATGGATCAAAGGTAAAACTTCCAAAACCTAGTGACAGACGACCTGAGGCTGTGCCCCACAGATGAACGTGCACCTGACCGGGAGCTACTGCCTGCCTTATCATTACTACACAACCCACTGAAGTGCTCCGTTGAAGGGCTTACCTTTCCTAAACAAAACCGCCTGAACACAGTCCCTACATCCTGGAATTTTTAAAGAAACAAGATTTCATGGCTTTCCAGCAATGGAGAGATGACTGGACAGCAGAGGTGCCTCATGAAGACGTCACTGACGTTACCAGAATGTTCTAGAATACTGAAGGGAATGATTACTTGCAAAGCATTTGGTGTCCCCTTTACTTATCATCTCACGTTTTCCTCACAGATCTCATGGGAGGAATGTGAGGGTCCCTATTTTGCAAGCAATGTGTGGTCCCTTCACTTCCTGTACTCAGTGGTTAGTAGGTCCCGGGTCTATCCTCTACCAGACCGTGGGCTGCTCCAGGGCAGAGCACACATCTTCCTCGTTTTTGTTTCCTCGACACATCTCATCCTGGCTGGAAGGAGGCGTGCACTGAGGGATGGTAGTCACACGGCCCAAGGGACCTACCTGAGGCTTCAAAGCTGGTAATGGAAGTTCTCAGCCCTGCACACTTCCTGCCATCCTGCAGGGAAGACCGCTTCCTCTCGGACAGTTAGCTGTCTGTGTCAACGTGGCCAGACTATAGTACCCAGGGATTTAAACACCCATCTAGGTGTAGTTAGCATCCACAATCAGTTGACTGAGTCAGGGAAATTACCTTCAATAATGTGGGTGGGCCTCATCCAATCAGTTGAAGGCCTTCATACCAAAAGTTAAAGATTTGGGGAGAAAAAAGAATTCAGCCTCAAGATTGCAGCATTAACTCCTGTCCAAATTTCCAGCCTAATGGCCTGCTCCCACTACTTTTGGGCTCTCCAACCGCCAAAATCACGTGAGCCAATTCTTTAAAATAAATCTCTTAAATGTATATTTCTTATTGTTTCTGTGTCTCTAGAGAACCCTGCTTCCTAGACCCTCAGTCTCCCTTACACTAGTCACTTCCTTAATATATCTCCCTCACACCATGCACCGCCCCCTCCTAATACTGCAAATTTAAACTTCAATTCAACTTGATGAAATGTTCATAAATTTCAGTGTGGTACTATAAGAGAAATTAATAAGGAATTGCTGTTCAATTAATCTTGGTCCAATCTCAGCCCCATACACAGTTAAAAATCATTCAGGATTTCAGGTCCCATTAGTCATACTTTCCCTGGCAAAGCAATGTGGAGAAGTAGGGCAATTATCTAGTCTGTGAGCTCCCCAGGGACCAGGACTGGCAGAAGCTTCAGCATTTATATCCCACGCAGACCCAGGTGTCTGACACGCGGCATCGGCTCAGTGTGTGCTCAACGTAGGTGAGGAGGGCTCACCAGCCTCCCTGCCCCTGCACCCCTGCAGTGCCCCCCACCATCACCCGGCCCAGGCAGGCCCAGCCCACCTGAGATTGCCTCATAATGCTCTTCACTCTGGGGCACATTTAAAAAATAGGCATATTAAAAGAGTGGTAATTATTTGGAACTGGAAATCGGGATGGAACTCATTAGCCAGAGTACAATTTATAAACTGACAAAAATGAAAAGGGGGCAGTAAAAATGTCACCGCAAAAAATAGATGACACATTAAACCTTAATTAATTGCATGTCACTTAAAAAGGTACAAACTGCAAAATTAAAATCTTAATGAACACGGCTGCAGAGAGCCATTTCTCAAAAGCTAATGGAAAACTAAAGGAACAGCTGTCCAAAGTGTAGCACGCGTCCTGTTTCTTCCTTGGGCCTTTTCAAGATGATCCTGGAAACTACACACATTCTGAAGAACAAGGCCAGGCTGACGGGGGTGCGGCCCAGGACGTGAGTCATGCTGTAATCTGGGGACCCAGTTCCCTTCGCAATCAGCAAGGGCAACGTTAACGGCCTGGACTGGACGCCATGATTAAATCAGGGCAGACCAGCACCCATGATCGACACGCAATACAGAAACCTTTTGGAGAACACAGAGATCTGTGACAGGCCAGCGTATGCATCTCCTGCCTGTGCACTGTGGGCCTCCTCACCCCCGACCCAAGGCTATTCTGCCCAGAGCTCCGGCCACACAGAACAAAACTTGGGCTCCTGCCCAGGGACCCATCTGCCGCCACATGGAATGCTGTGAGCTGTCCACACACAGTCCTCTGTTTTCCTCAAGGCCGCAACATACTCAGCTCTAGGCGACACACCGTGACTGCTATAACCCGGGGTTTTCCCACCTCAGGACTACTGATGTTTGGGGACGGATCTGTGGTGTGGGGGCTCTCCTGTGCCTTGGTAAGACTTCTGACGGCAGCCCCTGTCCTACCCAGTAGATGCCAGTGGGATCCCACAGTTGTGACAGGCCAAAATGTCCCTAGAGATTACCAAATGTTCGTGGGGGGTGGGGGGGCAGGAGGCAACACACACCCCAGCTGAGAATTACCGGTCTAACCCTGTAACCGCAATCCCGTTCCCCTTTTCCTTCACCTCCCTTACAGCTGGTCAGTGAGCCCCAAAGAGAAGGCTTTTGAACGCTGATAAAAACGACCGTGCGGTTGGTGGTGCTGCTTCCTGTCTGAAGCCTGGACTTCTGGTGACCAAGCCGCGGGGGGGGGGGGGACAGGGGGGGGAGCTGGGTGGACAGAAAAAGGAGCCTAGCTCTGTGATGTCCTCACAGAGTTCAGCGCAGCTCCGTGATTGCCCACCGCAAGGCTTCTGGTGAGGTGAGAAAAACATGCTTGTTTTCTTTCAGCCACTGTCAAGTCAAGACGTCTGTGATGGGAAGCAGAAAGCTTTCCAACGGTGCTAAAGAAAAACAAGCTAGTTTCCATCATTCCCGCTCAGAGGCGTCCCCTGAGAGTCGCGGCTGAGTTGTGGAACCAGCAGTAGGCAGGCAGAGCCGTGTCCCTTCTTTTCCTGTTTCTCTGCCAGCCCCCATGTTCTCTACCCTTCGAAGCCAGCTCTGGCCCCCCTTCCACCAAGAGGCCTTTCTGGTCACCCTGTGGACCAGTCCCTGCGGGTCTCCTCCTGTGCCAGCCCGGCCTGTGTCTTGGGGACTTGGGGTATAATTGAGGAAATGAATCAGGATTCAGGGTCTCAGGAAAGAGACCCGATCTGGAGGGTGGGAAGGACAGAACACCTGCTTCCAGCCTGCCCCACCCTCAAAGGCATTTCCAAGATACCCTGTACTTGGTCTTGTGGAGGGTGTCAGCAGGGCCGACCCCCGGCTGCCCGAGGGACCCCCTTCCCTCTCCTTCACGCGGCTTCCTGGCTCACCTTCCAGAAAAACTACCTGCCCGCACGCCCTCGTGTCAAGGTTTGCTTTCAGGCCAGCAAAATGTCCAAGCGAAGACACCGGCCTCGGGGACACGGAACGCCTGACTCTTAGCCTTTTCACTGCATGATCACTGGAGACTATCCCAACTCGGCAAATTCTCAGGTCACAGGAAGTCCATGTTTTCCTGATCAACAGAAAGAAACCTCTGCGGTGATATCCAATCACCTGGCTTTCCAGAAGCACACAGTCGGGACTGGAACGACCGTGGGGCCAACAACGGGACTGCGTCTCCCTCGTTAAACAGGCCCCGACACCTCCCGGAGGGCTGCCTTGTTGCCCGGAATCGCAGGCAGAGGCGAGCATCTTGTCTGCCTGTGTCTGCTTCCCAAACGCCGCGGCAATCACACACTTCAGGATAAAAGCCGGTTCCCTTAAGCGAGTCTGGCGCCAGCCAACCTCCACGGAGCTCTGCTTCCCTTCAGAGAAAATCACGGCCTCGTTATGCCTTCTCAGAGCCACTTATTTAAATAGACCTGTCACTCGGGGGCATTAGTATTCCACGGAATTAACAAGAACCTGCAGCCCCACTTGCGATGCTTATCAGCAGGGCTGACATTATTCCTCGGGAAACCAAAAACCAAAGAGTCCATAAATCAGCTTTTCAGAACCTGGTTACGTTTTTAGGAAAATCTAACGTTTTGATCATTCTAATGTTATTTCGTTCTGCCTGACAAGGTAAGATAAGATGATGATACGTGTCTGGATGTTAGGAACGACTGGAAAATCTAAACAGTTGAGGGGGCGCCCAATTCAATCATCCATCATTTCTCAACGGAAACGGGTCTTACCGAACGTAATGAAGTTGCAACTTGGAAATCCAACTCAGGGACAGAAATACTCCCAAGTACAGAGCAACGCTTGCACTTGAAAACATGAGGATGGGCTACACCCCTCTACCCTGACCACTCACACACAACCCTGCTTGTGCCTTCTGCTTCTGGAATGACCACAGGGTGCCCTTCTGTGATCAGCTCTCACGGAACCCTCCCCAGCCGCACACAAACGCACACTCTGTTGAAACGTCAACCCAAAGAAATACTCTGGCATTCGTATCTTTAAAGGTTTCAGTTTTTCTAAATGCTGATATATTAAATGTAAGTAACAAGACTTAAAAATACTTGTGCCAATTTTTTAAATATCCCAACAAGGATCCTTCATGCTGTCTGTCCACCCAAGCCAGGAGGGACTTCGATCACACAGGTTTTGGTTTTTTCTTTTAAAACATACATGCAGGGGCGCCTGGGTGGCTCAGTGGGTTAAAGCCTCTGCCTTCGGCTTGGGTCATGGTCCCAGGGTCCTGGAATCAAGCTCTGCATCGGGTTTTCTGCTCAGCAGGGAGCCTGCTTCCTCCTCTCTCTCTCTCTCTCTCTCTCTCTCTGTCTGCCTCTCTGCCTACTTGTGATCTCTCTCTGTCAAATAAATAAATAAATCTTTAAAAAAATAAAAAAATAAAAAAATAAAACAAACATGCACATCTACTGTAAAAGAAAAACGTCCTGTGTTTTCCTGGGGAAAGGAAGCATCGGCCACCTTAGTAAGAGCAGGAAATTTATATCTCTAGATGTTAAACGACCACAATTTTAGAGGGCCACTCAAAAACTCCCCAAGAAGATTTTTCCTTTTAGAGGAATATAGGCGGGGCGCCTGGGTGGCTGAGTGGGTTAAGCCGCTGCCTTCGGCTCAGGTCATGATCTCAGGGTCCTGGGATCGAGCCCCGCATAGGGCTCTCTGCTCAGCAGGGAGCCTGCTTCCTCCTCTCTCTCTGCCTGCCTCTCTGCCTGCTTGTGATCTCTCTGTCAAATAAATAAATAAAAATCTTTAAAAAAAAAAATAAAAATAAATAAAAAAAAGAGGAATATAGGCAAAACTGGAAGGAGGAAACGCTTGTAAGAGGGAAAAGATGCTCTTTTTATGTTTTCTATCCTTTCCCAATTAGTCACATCAGTGGTTCTCAACAGGAGGGGACTTCGCCCCCACCCCACCCTCACCCCAGGGGGCACTTGGTAGCGTCTGGAGACATGTTTGGTTGTCACCACCAGGGCTGCGGAGCATCCTGCAATTCCCAGGACAGCCCCCCCCCCCCCACCAAGAAGTCCCCAGCACCAAACAGATGTCAACAGTGCCGACGTTCAGAAACCCCGAGCAATAGCGTATCGCCCTCAGCAGGAAAGTTTAAGTGTTTTATCCCAAGGCTGACTGCCAAGGGGAAAAACCATACCACTGTTTTTCAGTCATATAACAAATAATTACTGAGCCCACAAATCCCCCGGAAACAATAATGACAACCGGCGCAGACCGAAGGCCTGTGTGCGCCCCAGTGCTGTGCAGGGGGGTTCTTCCGTCCCCATCAAGCCCTCCCGCAGCAGCCACCGGCACCTGCCGCACTTCACAGAAGGGGAAACTGAGGTCCCTCACATTAGGTGACTGGCTCCAGTACAGAGGGGATAGGTGAAAGGGGCTGGACTATGACACCGGCGGTCCTGGCTTCCAAGTTAGTTTTCCTAACCATTCTGCTCTGACAATGAACAGTTCAAGGATGGCTGCACCAGGGTCTGAATGCCTGTGGATTGTTCTAGATTTTGATGTGGCAGGGCAGGGCTCGGGAGGAGGGAACAGGAGAGGGAGAGTAGTACATAAAATCCAAGGTCAAATTCATTATCCATAACCGAGGGGGAAGAAAACAAGGCTGGCACTGGGTGCACTGTCCTCACACGGGCCCAGCTTCAAGACCCCAAGTATGCTTCTTCAGCCCTGTCAGTGCTCAGCAGATGCCCGAACCTCCACCAGACCCAGGAAAGCAGCAGAGCGACAGCAAAACCCGAGCAGTTTCCACAGTCATGGGAAGGCAACTGACCTAAAAACAAAAGGGTTTGTCCAAAGTTCACATGAACTCATCAGGAAAAATGCAGTGATATGATTGACACCATAAATTCTTGGTTAAAAAAGTAAATTTCAGGGCACCTGGGTGGCTCAGTCGGTGAAGTGTCTGCCTTCAGCTCAGGTCATGATCCTAGGGTCCTAGGATCGAGCCCTGCATAGGGCTCTCTGCTCAGCGGGGAGCCTGCTTCTCCCTCTGCCTCTCCTCTTTCCCCCACCCCCACACTTGTGCACACTCTCTCTCTCTCTCTCTCTCTCAAATAAATAAATAAAACCTAAAAAAAAAAAAAGTAAATTACTAGGAAAAGAAAATATCTGAGAGGAAGGTAAACTATAAGAGACTCTTAACCATAGAGAACACACTGAGGCTGCTGGAGGGAGGTGGGGGGGGCTAGTTGGGGGATGGGCATTCAGGAGGGCACTCGGTGTGATGAGTGCTGGCTGTTGTAAGTTTTAAATCACTACGTTCTACTCCTGGGACTAATATTACACTACATGTTAACTAAGTAGAATTTAAATAAAAACCTAAAACATTAAAAAATCAATCAATTGATCAATCATGGTTATAATCAATATAATATATATAATACACATATACAATCATATAATTCAATTATAACTAGCTCCAGAAGTAGTAAATGCAGATGAAGCTTCCTCCAAACACAAAAGCATCACGAACACCATTTAATTAGGAAGAACCACCTCTTGTTGCTATAGGACAGGCAAGGGCTCAATGTGGCTGAAACCAGTATCTTGCCTTTAAAAAATGAAAACCGTCAGAGTCAAAAGCCCATCAATGGGATTAAATCTAATTATGCTCTTTTTTATTTCCGTGCAAGTTTTCTTCTTTGAAGCCTGTCGTCACTTCCTAGAGCACTTAGATGGAAGTGGGAGAAAAGAAAGCCAAGCCCCCCAGTGTGATCACCAGGAAAATGCCAGACAGGCTGGGGACACGGGATACGAGCCAGTATGGAGACGGTCAGGTCAGGAGCGACGCGGGGAGACAGGGCCACTGTCCCTGGCCGCAGGACACGGGGGATACAGGACAATTCCATGTGGGAGCCCGGATGGGATCCCGGCACGGAAGGGGGACAGCAATGGATGCGTGGGCGAAATCTGAGTAAAGCCCGGAGTTTGGTAACAGTGACAAGCGAGGGTCGAGCAGGACTCTGTGCTATTTCTGTCACTTTCCATACATCTTAAATTCGTCCCAAATAAAAGTTTCCTCTAAAAATAAGTAGCAGCAACTCGTCTAAAGCAGGATCACACGTCATCCTGGGGGCTGGGAGGGAAGTCGTGACTTTCACTGCACGATGGGGAGCGGGGGGCTCGGAGAAGGAAGCGCTCCCTCCGGGACCACCCGGTCACAAAGGGCAAGGGGGTGCCCGCTGACCCAAAGCTACCACCTAAGAACTTTCCACTCAGTGACATGTCACACACTTCAGCATGTGATTCCAACCACCAGCAAGTGGGGATGCGGGATGGCTACTGGGCCCACCCCGCCACCCCTGGGCCCACCCCGCCACCCCTGGGCCCACCCTCAGCAGGACACGCCCGCACTGGGAGCCAAAGCCTGAACACACATTTCTAAGAACAAATACAGGCAGGAGGAAGCTAGGGCTGAGGGAAAAGCCAATCAGGGAGCAAGGAGGGGTTTCCTACAGAGTGACCAGTACTGTGACCCCCCTCCCACTGCGCCCCCAAGGGTTTGCCTTCCTTTCCTTCGGTTTCCCTCAGCTGGTTACAGCCACACCCTCAAAGACACTATTCTCTGTTGCATCCACTAGGCTTCGTCCCTACGGAACTGATTCATCTCAGTCCACGATCTCCAAGGAAGCAAGATCAGCACTTCCGGAGACCCTTGGGACCCCCCCCAGGGTGGGCGGGTACAAACCTGCTAGCACCAGGGCTCGGATGCACTCCGTCCGGCCCTGCATGGCGGCTTTCATCAGGGCCGTGAACCCGAACGCGTTCCTCCTCTCAAGATCGAGGCCAGGAAAATAGTTCAGCAAGTAGTTGGTGACGGTGGCGTGCCCTGCGAAGAGAGTCACAAACGTTTACTGGCACAGTCCGCCAGGGGTGCCATGCGCGGACCTCCGGGACCAGGCCACCTGCGCGGCCGGGCGGGGCTGCCCCTCAGCCGCGGGAAATAATTCTCAGGGTGCCGGGAAACAGCGAGACACACGGCAACACCGGTTTGTTCCGGTTCTCTGCACCCGCCCACCCCGCCCCGCACCCGGGAGCTCAGCTGTTCTTCCGACTGGTGAGGAGGGACCGTGGGGAGCAGCGGAGGGTGGGGACGCCAGGCAGGAGCAGAGCGATCCTGCAGCCACACTGGCTGATCAGGGGACAGACTGGTCCTGGAGGCTGTGGGCTGTCAGCTCCCAGCAGGAGGTGCCAGGGCGAGCAGAGGCACAACTGAAAATGAACCTCGGAGCCATTTCTCAGCGCTCCCTCGGAGAAGGTCGTCATCACAGCACGGGGATACGCGAATTCATGCTGTCATCCGCCGTTACCACTCGGATGTGTCTGTCTGTCTCTGTCACACACACACTCGCGGGCAGGAGGCAGGAACGTGGGGGATGTGGCTACCCCGACCCACCGGGCCCTGCCCTTCTCGGAGCTGCCATCCCCACCCTCGCCCCTGCTGGCCTCAGGTAACAGGCCCTGGTGAGCGTGAGCAGTCCCAGGCGTCCCCCAACCGGCCCGGGGGAGGGGCTGGGTGCCCAGTCTCCTTCCTTACACGCTGGGGATCCAGCCCTCTGAAATGCCCCCCACCCTGTTCTTCCCGGTGCACACATGTTCCTGGGGAACCCCCCAGTCAGGCTGCAGGCTGGGGCCTCACGGACACTCCAGTGCTCTCTGTCGTGAAATGAGCTGCACACCCCACCCTGGAGAGGCCTCCAGGCCGTCCTGATACCAGAGCTGTGAGACCCCTTCCCAGGGGGACTCAACCAAAATTGGGGCACGGACCCTTCTAGAACCACTGTCACCTGCTTACCATGGACCTCAGCCCATCTCCTGAACTCGCCGTAAAAATTAAAAGGTGAACCATGAAGCCTTCCGAGAGCGAAACCCTGACTAACCGGACCTCTCCCGACAGAAGCCTTACCCTGGGTGCGACCCTCCAGGACGGGACTCATGCATTCTGACCCGCAGCTGGCGCTTGGGGACTCGGGCAGTCACTGGGCCCTCCGCAGTCATCCAAGCTGCCAGGGTGGGGAAGATGCCAGCTGTCTGCGGTGGGGGGGGGGGGGGGGCCTTTGATCTCAGTTAGGCTCGTCACCCAGCTAAACGCTCTGCAGCACCTGTCAGATTTAGAGTGAAACGAACTGCAATTCGGAGCCATTTCTTTTCAAACGTGAAAGCGAGTCCATCGTAATTTGCAGCAGGACGTCCTCCGCACCGTTGAAGTCTAATGCTTGGAACAGGCAGGGAGAGGGAAAACTGAAAAGCCACACAGCAAACAGCCCATTGCACAGAACTGTTCTGCTGCTGACGCTGAGTCAGAAAAACCAACACGTGGCCACCTCGCTGACTACAGGCACGAGCTTTCCGTGGCCCACGGAATCCGTCCCACCTCCCCACCGGCTTTCTCAGGACAGCAGACACCTCTGTCACACAGGTGGCCTCGTGCAATGAAATCAGGGGTGGACAAGATGCTTCCAAGGACATGCAGAGAGTAACCTCTCTTCTGTTGAAAACAGGACGGGTCCAAAATGGAGTCGCTTAGGCTAAGCCCCCAGGAACCGAACCGAGACTTAATAAAAGTTTTGGATCCCCCAGAGACGGAGTTTTCAACCCATCCATCAGCAATCAGCCGGTCAGTGCTCGTGATCCTGACCCTCTCCCTGACAGACCCCTGCCATCCCCTCAAGGAAAGTGACCTTGCAGTGACCAACCCACTTCTCTGCCCTGCACAGCTTCCTCGTTCTTCCCCCCTCCCTTCCTCCCGCCTTCCCCTTCCTCCTCTTACTCTGTACAACTCCTGGCGGGGGTGGGTGCTTTCTATCTGCTAAATGCAATGCTGCCTGATTTGAATCGACTTTTGCTCAAACCCAACATTTTTAATTTGCTGCTGTTTCTCTTTGAACACTTCTTCAAAACCATGACAACTAACCAAGGGGAGCTTTCCTTCTTTCAGTAAGGCAGATAGATGATAGAGAAATAAAATAGGCAGACAGACAGACAGACTAACATGGGCTTCCTCACGTAACAGAACCGGAACATGTACCACACTGAAATCTAGCTTGAGCCCAATCCAACCTTCTGGGATGGGATTTGGTTCCTGAAGTCCTCCGACAAAGCCTTTCAAAGAGTAGGCTCACCACAGAGACTCCCCAAAATGCCCCCCATGAGCCTGTGTAAGGGAAGAACAAAAGTGACCCGGGGGTGAAGTGAATTCTGGATGAGTCAGCTTCAGTGGCGTGACTGAAAACCTGTGTAGACACAGCTTAGGACTGAGAAGACCTGAGTGTGAGAATACCCAAGTTCAAGTCCCAGCCTGTCACTTAAAATCTGGGCAGCTTGGGGCACCTGGGTGGCTCAGTTGGTTAAACATCTGCCTTCAGCTCAGGTCATGATCCCAGAGTCCTGGGATCAAGTACCACATCGGGCTCCCTGCTCAGTGAGGAGTCTGCTCCTCCCTCTCCCTCCACCCCTCCCCCAGCTTGTGCTCTCTCTCATTCACTTGTGCTCTCTCAAATAAATAAATAAAATCTTAAAAAAAAAAAAATCTGGTTAACCCTGGGAAGGCAAGTCAACTTCACCAAGTCTCTGTTTCCACTTCTGGAACTGGGAGGTAATATCAGCATCACCGTGGTGAAACTTACAGAGGACGGGGTGTGTGGCAAGTGCCTCGCAGAAAAATCCCACATCATTCATGGAGATAGCACACTCTCAAGGAGCTGGAATGCAACAACCCACTCCGTAACTAGTGGGCTGCGCCTTGTGGCTTCCTTCCAAAGACCCACTACAGTGAGCGGGGAGGTGGGGGTGGGGTGGGGAGACAGTGGAGACACCCGACAAACACGACCTCAACCAGGTGACCCGGTGAACACCAGGGGTTGTGAGTCATGTCCACGGCTCTACCTACAAAGACCTCAGCCGGCCTCCTGAATCTTCCAGGCCCAGCTGTGAACTTCCAGGAAAATCCAGCTTTAGCGAGATCTCTGCTCAGTTCGGCCAGAGCCACACCCTCCAGATCTGGTCACGGTCCTCATCCTCCACATCCCCAGGGCGGGGGGGGGGGGGCGGTCCTGACCGCTCACCCTGGCCTGCCTTTAGCAAGAGCCCCATTAACTCAGTGTAGCCACAACTTCCCTTACCCCCGAGTCATTTTCCACCCGCTGACCCCCACCTTGCTTCTTGGCTATACAGTCCCACTTGCCCGAGCCGTATTCGGAGTTGAGCCAACATCTCTCCCAAACTGCAAAATCCCGCTGCGTGGTCCCCCGCCTATCCCAGTGGTCCTGAAGTCTGCCTTTCCATCTTTAGCAAGTGTCACTGCGTTTTTTGTTTTTTTTTTTAAATGGTACCCTTGATAAGATGTGATGAGAATGTCACTTTCCTCCGCGGTCCTCCCCGCTCCCCTGACTTGTAACTCTAGTCTAATCATGAGCAGACACAAGGCACACCCAAACTAAGGGACATTCCACCAACTCCTTGACCAGTACTCCCCACAATGTCAAGGTCATAAAAACAAGGAAAGTGTTAGAAACCATCACAGCCAAGAGGAGCCTGACGTGACAGCTAAATGTAATACAGGCCCCCCCACGGGATCCTGGAACAGAAGAAGGGCATTACAGGAAAGATGAGGAAGTCTGGGTGAAGAATGGGCTTGAGTGAATGATAACAGAGCATCAATCCTGGTTCACCATTGTGCCAAACGTATCTCGCTACTATAAGATCCCAACGACAGGGACACCAGGTGCAGGCATATGACTCTCTGTACCCTTTCTGCAGCTCTTCTGTGAGTCTAACTATTCTAAAACCAAAAGTGTTCATTTAAAGCAGGGGAAACTATGGGGTGCCTGGGTGGCCAGTTGGGTAAGGGTCTAGCTTCGGCTCAGGTCATGGTCCCAGGGTCCTGGGATTAAGTCCCGCGTGGGCTTCTCCCTGGGGAGAAGTCTGCCTCTCCCTCTGCCTCTGTACCCCACCCTGCTTGTGCTCACTCTCTCTATCTCTCTCAAATAAATAAAATCTTCAAAAAAAATTTTTAAATTTTGAAATTTTAAAAATAAAAAAAGGGGGGAATCTAGCGTGGGGCCCCTCGACAAGAACACAAGGTAGGACAATGATTCTGGGTGGGCAGCTGGGTGCAGATTCTCTCCCCACTGCGCCCAAGGCTTCCTCAGTGGTGGGCAGCAACGAGCCCCAGGAGGCCAGGTAGGCGGGTGGAGAGGTATGGCCGACTTTGAGGGCTCCTAAAGAAGGGAAGGACAGGACTTGATTGTTTGGCCGAGCCATTAGCATTAGCCATTAGAAACTAAAAAGCCCAAGATGACTTCTGGTATGGCCTGCCTGACAGGTTTCCGGGTCCACTATGGTGGGCCAATGGCATGTTTGCCAAGTGACTATATGAGGGTGGGAATCCGTGACACCACGGGGTCCACGAGGGAAAGCTTGCCTGGCCCCTCCACATGGTCCACCTATGCTTCCGTTTCCCAGCTGACTATCCCCCAAGCCCCACGTGGAAAATTTTTAACCTTCCCACTACTTTTCTTTTCTTTTTTTAAACATGGAATGTCATTCATGAATTTGCGTGTCATCCTTGCCCAGGGATCAGGCTAATCTCTGTATCGTCCGATGTTAGCGGATGGCTGCCAAAGTGAGCACAGACTTTCCCCCCCTTAAATCCCCTACCCACAGCCAACCCCACTCACAGGAGATGACGCACCTTCTACCTCCAAGAGAGAACAGAAACCACAGTAAGGGAACCCCCCCAACTTTCCCTCAGCACCTCACAAACTTCCCCCAATCCACAAGCAGCCTCTCCCCCTTCCCTCCCTAAGAAAAAGGAGGGGTGGTTCTTCT